GGTCCCCGGCTGCACCAGCGTCTCCTGGTCTCCCTGCCTTCACTGTGGGTACTGCGTCCCACCCACCCTCACCCGCAGCGGCCGAGGGTCTTCCCGGCACAGAGGCCGCCATCCTACCTCCCGCGGGCTCCCCACTAGCTGAGCACTCGGACCCCTGTCCCCGCCCAGGGCCTGCCAGGGCTCAGGCGCTGGCTCCCAGGTCCACCTGCACCCCCAGGCTCCTGCTCAGCGGGGCCACTGGGGGGCGCTGTGGTTAAAGACGGGCCAGGCCCCTGGAAGCCTTGGCTGAGTGGGGCGAGACCGGACTGGTCCTGGGCCCCTGGAGACTGGCCCTGGGGGGACGGGACAGGGTCTCCTCACCCAGAGCCCCTGGGGACTGCAGGTGCCTCCCCAACTGCAGGTGGCTCAGCCCCCTCCTCGCTGGCCCTTCCTCTCCAGGCACCCCTGCTCCTGTCCCCAGAGCCCCTGGCATGTCTGCCCGCAGGCCCCTGCCCCTACAGCGCCCCCCAGTGCCCACGTTCTCCCTGTGTGTCCCGAGTGGGTGGCTTCTCGGCCCCGTGGTGTTTCCCGCAGGACCTCGCTCGGGACACAGAAACCCGACGGCCACTCCTGGGCGAGAGGCTCAGCCCGGCCCAGGGAAGGGCAGGCTCCAGGTCGCATAGCACAGGCGTGGAGCTGAGGGGCCCTCGTGCTGCCTGGCCTGGGTGCCGCGTGTGCGTGTGCGTGTGAGTGTGTGTGCATGTGCATGTGTGTGTGCATGCGCGTGTGAGTGCGTGTGTGTGTGTGTGTGTGTGTGTGTAGGGGGGCCCCCTGCCCAACGGGCCCCAAGCCTGGTTGCCAGGAACTGCCATGTCTAGGAAGCCCCCTTTGCGTCATGTCACTTACATAACTCCCCACACCACCCACCCAAGCTTGGGAAACAGCCATTAGGACACTCGGGTGCCCCAAAGTGCCAGGGCCCCAGAACTACCGGCAAGTAGGTGGTGCATGTCTGTGTGGGGCTGGGCTGGGGCTGGGTGTGAGGGGCCCTGTGCGTTCCTCATGGTGCCCTCCCACCAGCATCGGGGCCCTGTGCCCGTGGCCTGCCTCCCTGTGCAGTGTGGCAGCAGGGGCACCTTCACATGGGGAAAGCCCAAGGTGGGCGACTGCTCAGCTGTGGGCAGTGAGTGGCGACGGGTGGGAGGCCCGAGGAGGGGCTGGCAGCACCTGCAGGGCCCACGCGGGCTGGGCCGAGCGCCGTGGCGTTAATGTGGCCGGAGGCTTGGCTGTGGTGTGACCTGCGTTGGGTGCGAGCGTCCTGTCGGAGCAGGTGGCAGGGCTGCGCGGCCTGTCAGCTGGTGCAGGCTCAGGCCACACGGAGGTGCCCCTCAGGCGGCACCATCTCTTCACATGATGGCACAGGCCCCAGGGGACGGGCTGGCGGCCGGGTCTCCCTGCTCTGGGCAGAGCTGAGCTGTGAGTTCTGGGTGCTGCAGCCAGAGGCGGCCTCACCACCGGCCGCGTGCACCCCGCAGGCAGAGCCAGAGTCAACTCGCCCCAGAACCCCGTCCAGACCCCGGTCCTGCAGCCCGGCCTCCAGGGCCTGAGGTTGGACCCCCACAGGCCATGCCCTGGGGACTCAGCAAGGGCTGTTGAGAGCAGGTGGATGTCCAGTGGGTCTTGAAGGGCGAGGAGGAGTTTTCTGGGTGAGGGCTTCATCAGCCCACAGCGGGCACAGCTTTCGTCAGCCACCACGTGTGGGTCCTCCCGGTGCCTCCTGGTACAGCCTGGCCTGGCGGGGCCGTGCCAGCGGGAGCCTGGTGACAATGTCGCTGCCGTCGTGGGCAGGGGCTGTGTCTGCCCA